TGCAAATAATGCATGTAAAAAAAAATTAAAGTCTCTGGTTTCTTGATTGATAACTATTCTTGTACACTAATATGTGGCTAGAACCTTGTCGTACAATTCATCTAACTTTTTATACAGTTATTAGTTGAATGTTCCAATCAATCTTGGCATTGTACAGTTCTTGATTTTGTTTCAGGGACCTTTTTTATTCTTATTGTATGGTTCATATATTGTGGTTCACGTAAATTACATATACATATCAATGTCAAGAAACAAATTAATTTATTTTATGATATATTTATATTTACAGTTTGACAACATAATATATCTCATCATGCCCAAAAAGCAGAATTAATTTGTTTCCGGATATCATGCTTATAATGACGACCTACCTTCTTGTAAGCTAAAGTTTAGGAAAGCACAATCATTAAAGCTATCCTGAGCACCAAAGCTAACTTAAGGAATCTTATGTATATATAATACCAAGAGGTGAATCCAACGTTTAAGTTATTGTGACAAGATTGCAAGTAAGTTGTCTTTAACTTTCTTTTGGTTAATTAGTCACGGCCATATGCTTGCATGTGTGCCCTAGCCAATTCATTATACAAGTCAAATATTTTCAACCCCCATTCTTTTTTATCAATAATGGAAATCCTTACAATTGATCATGACATTTTCATGTCTCTTAACTATATTTTTTGTGGTTTTCCGATTGATTATTATCAATGTATATACATGACTCATCTCATACTCGATCTTTACCACTTGAGCTAAGGTCTTGGTAAAATTATTGAAGGAAAAGTTCCTTTTTTAAAGGGTGCTCGGTAACAGATCAAGTGGAGAAGAGGTGGGCCTGTAACTCAGAGAATTAGAGTACGTGGCTACGAATCATGGTGTAGGACTATAAAACGGTTACAAAGTAATATTAATAAAACGAGTGTTATTACATTGGTGGACTGTAACATCACCTAGATGGTCATACCAAAAATTTATAGCTATTGTGATGAGTGGTTGATTCTTGCCATAGCCGTTCTGACAATTAACCAAAAAAATATAGCTAGGTTCACTACTGAAGAAAGGAAGTACTGCCTATATAATGGTCAGACGACGGACAAAGTAGCAAATTAATTTGAACCTACCGTAAATGAACAAAGCAGATCATTATAGTACTGGACTATACAAATAGCAGTATATATACTTAGACATTGATATCTACAAACCGCAGATGAACAGAAAACATTTGAATTCTGTGGTACAATACCAATGTGGTTTCAAAAAGTTCTGGCTCTTTGTGGACCAAATGCTAGCTAGCTCTAGCAATATGATTTCTGTACGTTTTGGAGGGAAACGGTTTAAGAATTGTGCATGAAGCTGCGTCCACCAATAATGATGTGAGAGAGGAATAGTACCGTGGACCTGTATAAAAATTATTTCAATTGATATTTGAATTCACAGAACCATTTTCATCCATTATATTGTATAGAAAATAAAGCCATCACGATACTGTCTTAATTAGTCCTTCCAAAGCTTTTCTTAATTTGTCTCATTTTATTATGATATACTTACAAATGCTTTTACTGTCCCAAGTAATAGCAAACTTTGTATTTCAACAAGAATCAAGTGCAATTAATAATTTCGATTCACAGTCCGACAATATAAACATGAGTGTCTTATGTTTATTAAACAGTGTGAAATATAACATAACTTCAAGGGCCTTTGGGCACATCTATGGGACTGGTGCGCATATTTATACCATTTCGTTGGTTCTTAAGTCTTGCCATGCGTTGTATTGATCAACAGTTGTCACCCTAGCATTGTACAGTGGCACTGAAGATGCTAGCTATCATGCAAGCTGGGTTTTGGGGTCCGCATATACAAATTAAAGATTCAGATGGATCATATATCAATGGTCCCCATACATACATACATGTATACATGTTGTGTTTTAGAGGGCATAGTACCATATATTGATGCTCGAGGCCGACAATGGTGTGGTGTATTCCCACTTCCCACAATTCCAACCTAAAAGTATGCAAAATCGTAGACGTGGCATTTTGAATGATATTCATGTTTGTGTGATCAGATAAATCCGTTGCCGTTGGCACTTGTACTGTTTTCTTGCGGACCACAAGTGTAGTTTGTGGGTAATGACAATTGCCAGAGAGAAAAGTTATTCAACCATATTTGATGGCTCTGCTTTTGAGTTTTGGCCGGTATGAAGCTAGCTCAAGATCGAGGCCAAGTGATTGTGCCTTAGTTTGATGTATGCTAGCTTTTTAAAGTACTTTTCCATTATGGAACAGCTGGTTACATATATTTATGGCGTTTACACGATAATAATGTCTGAACGTTCGCATAAAAGAAAATCCATATATATACACAGAGAGCTTCCATGAAGGATTTTTCAAATAAGCTTATTTGAGGGACACTCTTGTAAAGCCTACTTCGTATTGTATTTTATTAATCCAAATGTCTATTTTGTAGATATTCATTCAAATATCATCTCTACAAAAAATCACTTGAATCCAATATCATTTGACCACTCAATTTGGATGTTAAAACGGTTTTCGATTTGTCTAGTTTTTTGCAAGGATGATGTATGAATGTAGACTTAAAAAATAAATGGTTTGAATCGTTGAAAATAAATTCGTAAAAGACCCTAGAAGGTGTCTCTCAAATAAAATTATTTGAGAGATCCGTCAATAAAATGAGACTTATATATATATATATATATGCATATATTATTTTTGGCCCATGATGTGTTTGGATAATACTTCATCTAAAAACTTATATATATGGTCTTAATTTGTAGGTTAGTTAATTATAATTTCCCAAAACTTATCTGATTTGCCCAAACTCAGTTGGGATGCGACCAGATATTTCACAAGACCCCCTAGCCCCAATTGTCCTAGGCTGACCTTCCCAAGTTCCAACCCTATTCAACTAGTGAATTAAGCTAGCCCAAGTTCCAAGCCCTCTGAAAATCAGGAAAAGAAGAGGAAATTAAGGGCATAAACAATAGGGTTAATTATTGCCAACTGCATGGTGTCTAACGATTAGTAATTAAATTACTCGTTTGATGTTTTTTTTTTTAAATGCAAGCGATAGTATAAACTACAAAGACAAGAGGAGTTTCTCACACAAACACGATCAAAGTATCATGGAGGTTTCTCACTACCTTGTTGGCATTAGTTTCATGCTTTAATAGAATATAAAAGGCTAATGAAACTCAAACATAATCCTAATCTCTATACAATACATAGGCACCACAAATGACATATCGCAAGAGGGCTAGCAATTTGCTGTCGTACAATAGTTAACAGCTAGGGTTAGGCACCACAAATGACATATCGCAATAGGGCTAGCAATTTGCTGTCGTATAATAGTTAACAGCTAGGGTTCGATTTTCCTAGACAATAATGTTTAAGTGCATATAAGATTTTCTCAACCCTGTAAGATTTCCTTAGCCAATAATGCAAGAACCTTTTGTCTGCGCTTTTATGTTGTGGCGTGAAGATTATTACATGTACGAGCCTGACTAGCTTCAGCCCCAGTTGAGGATCGAGATCAAATTCGATCAGGACACCAGAAATGGTAGGCCTTGATTGAAACATCAGTGACAGAGGTGGGAGCTTTGGGGACCGCTCTACTTCTCCAAAATCTTGCAGGCTAGCTGGGATTTCCTTTCTACTACTGACTTACCTAACCTGAGTAAATTTCTTTCTTCACCCACCTCCCCACAAAAAACAAACTTTCCTAGGTCGGCCACTGCACAATGCATGCATTTAATTAAGGTTAGGATTCATGGGAAACTCTGAAACTAAATAATTGAGATCATAACTTCATGGATTTTAAGGCACCACAAACAAAACAAATTGATATTATTATCTCTCAAAACAAAAAGATAAAGTGATATTACAGATGAGTGAGAAATGAGAATGGTCTTTGATGTTGCTTTCCCGAAGAGAGGCTATAATGAGGAGTTTAGAGTGAGGAGACTATTTGAGTAGGTCAATCTCACCATCAACAAATGTAAAGAAATCATGGGACTTAAACATTTCAAATGTTTTGATGGTGGGATTGACCTCCTCAAATAGCCGCCTCACTTTAAACTCCTCATTGTAACATCTCTCGTTGTTTTCCATGAGTCATTTTATGGTGTGGGTGCTATATATAAACCATAATACCCAAGGGCGGAACCAGAAATTTTTCAATGGGTAGGCTAGCTAAAGTTATTAGCTTAAAATCAAATGATAATTTTTTTTTGTACTTACATTTTCTATGGTAAAATGCTTCTCTTTTGGAGGCAAATTAATATAAAAATTTTAAAATTGATGTTGGGACAAACTTTGACACCAAATACAAATGTGGAAGACCTCTTACTATGCCTATTGGTGTTGAAATTGTATATATATTTATTTGTTTTTAGTTAAAATATTATGATATATGTATATTTAATTTATTTTTTATCCAAACCTTCCCTGGGCTACAGCCAAGGGCAGCCCTTGCCTTGGTTCCGCCCATGAAACCATAGATGTAGACCTTCATATTAGCCACATGATTAATCTAAATAGTAACTTCACTTAAGTTTAATGAAATGATCATGTGGTTAATATGAAAGTTCACATGAAGAGTCCATATATGACACCCTCAATATAGAATTTCGCTGCTTTCCACTCCATTTGTCTATTGTTCTCATGGGGTATGTTGAGGTATGTCCAAAGACAAAGGTACTTTCATGCTTGTTGGGCCAAAAGGCAAAGTGTCTTCAATCGTTGTTATTGAAGAAGATGGGTTCATAGATGTCTAAAGATATCCATTTGTTACTTGGGTTTGAGACTGATTTAGGCCCAAATTGTGACATATTTTTTTATCTTTGCCGGCCCAAATTCTATAAAACTTATACATTTATTTATTTTTATTTTTATAGCACTTTATATATTTACGTCAAATAAATAAGTCCTTATTTATTTTTATTTGTGTATTTTTGCCTTCATGATACCATAATCAACAAAAAAATTATGAAAGCAGGGTGTGATTAAATTATTTTTTACGCCTAGAATAGAAGAGAAACCAAAAAGAAAAAAGAAAAAAAAAAAAAAAAGCGCTGACCTTTTTCTTGGATTTAGAATTCCCGGGAAATAGACTTCCCAGAAAAAAATTGGGAAACTTTCCTGTTCTTCCATTCCTCAAAACCCACGATGAAGTGCGAAAGATTCCTTTCAATTCCAATCTTTATGGTGTTTCTGTTAATTGGTGTTGTGTGTTACGTCACGCTTTTCATCTTCATCGAAGATTGGGTTGGGTTGAAGAGCTCTGCTGGTTCTTTGAACGCTCTGATTTTCATTTCCTTGGCCTCTCTCTGCCTCTTCTCTTTCTTTTGTTGTGTTCTCATTGACCCAGGTTATGTTCCAGCTTCCTATGTCCCTGATATTGAAGACAGTGAGTCATCTGATCAAGAACTCAAGAAAAATGTAAGCTTTTACAGGCATAGATTTGGGCGTGGTCTGTTTGGTTGATGAGAAAATTGAGCTAAACGAAAGAAAAAAAAGATTAAATTTTTAATTCAAATGCTTTCTGTTTGGCTGGTGATTAGAATATAAGTTTTGACTGGTACATTAATGGGTTGATGAGAATGTATCTAATTTTTAATTCTAATGCTTTCTGTTAATAGCTATTGTCACTCCATTGTGTCTTAGATCTGCTTCTTGTGTGATTTATGGAATTTACACCAAAAGGTTTAAGGTAGTGAGAATTGTATGAGTTATATATTTGTCACTGGCTGATATGGCATAAACAAATTAATTAACATGCATGCTTAGTGCGTGAGAAAATATGAGAACTGGACCACTAAGTTGCATTGTTTGTTGAAGGAGATCTTTTCATATGTGAGTTAGTACTGTGTTACCTATTTCATTAAAGGTGGATATTTGTTAGTGTAGTAGAGAGTGATAAAAAAATGTTAACAATTAGGCCACCGCTGAGATGAAAGTTTATACAATTACAACCTTAGGAGCATGGACATGGGACATAGGTGACATAAGATACAAGTGAAGGAAAATCTTGACAGCAGCTAATAGGGGTTTTATTTTTGGTAATGGCTAGGGATTATGCACTGCGTACCAAATAATTATGATTTGAAGCTCTTAAGGGGGAAAAGAGAGGGGAGGAGAGGGGGAAGAGAGTGAAGGCTGAATGTTGTTTTGATGCTATGATTGGCATCGCTGATAACTGTCAGGATTTCGCTTGAGGTTTTACATGCTGCTTGTTTAAGGTTTTATGTCATAAAGATGAGTCAACATGATCAGGAACTCCCCATTTCTTACTCCTCAAAGACCATAATTGCATGAAAAAACTTCTAGAATTATGGATTAAAATGGTGCATTTACAGCTAATTCACACTGGAATGATTTGTCTACCTCATAGTATAAATCTTACAGTCTGTTTAAAAGCGTATCACACTTTTTCATTATATCAAGTACTTTATGCATTAGGATACCCTGTTGTGTATCTAGACACGCATTTGTAATACTGATTTCTTCTCTTTGTAGCTAATTTTAAAACGTTGGATTCTTGATTTCTGACAGGGCATATCATCCAGGCGCTGTGACAAGTGTTCTACATACAAACCTCCCAGGGCTCATCATTGCCGGGTCTGCAGAAGGTGTGTTTTAAGGATGGTAGGTTGCATTACATTCTTATCACCATATCATCTTATTCATGATTTTTCTGTACATGGATTAGAGTTTTTATTTCTTTCGTGCCAAAATTGGATGCAGGATCATCACTGTCTGTGGATCAATAACTGTGTTGGTTATTGGAACTACAAGGCCTTTGTTATGCTTGTCTTGTATGCAACACTAGGATGTTTGTATTCTACAGTGAGTTTATCTGGTTCTTCCTTTTACATGCTTTGATAATAAGCAGCCTCATATTCTGACAGAAGCTTTTGACATGTTTAGGTTATGATTATATATTGTGCATCTCATAAGGACTTGGAATACAGTGGAAGTGGTGGCCTCAAGGTTTTTTATGTGAGTTAGTACTCCTTTTTTTTCTCTCTTTTGTGCTAAGGATGTGAGTACATAATCATCTATTCTGTTTTTCTTGTTTTAAAGTAATTTCCTAAGTTACTCAAGTTAGAGCAGGAATCTAGTTAACCCTCTTCTATTTTGATGGACTCTTAAATGAGTTAGAGGCAGAAATAATCCTGTCTACTACAATGGATGTCTTATAGCTCATATTGTAATTTTTCAACGGTGTCAAGCATTGGTAGAGTGCGCAAAAATATGGAGAACTGGTTGCTAATAGTCACATAAATGGGTTCTTCTGCATGTTCCTCTTTTCAGCTGTTGAATACCGGTTTCATATATATATATATATATATATATATGTATTCATAACTCTCTATTTGGTTCTTGGATCTCTTTGCAAATTAAACCACTTAAACCCTTTGTTGCCTCACCAATCATCTTAACTGGTTTTTTAGGTTTTGTCTGGACTAATGATGGCTTCCTTGAGCATAATGCTTGGAACTCTTTTGGGCTGGCATGTCTACCTCATCATCCACAATATGACGACTATAGAGGTAAACTGTGACTTTTCGTAACTGGAAGCGGAACTTTTTATTTTTATTTTTTGGGAATCATTGATACAGAACTTGACATGGATCTTTTACCAGTATTATGAAGGAATTCGGGCATCATGGTTGGCTAGGAAATCTGGGCAGAGCTACAGACATCCATACAATCTTAGTTTCTACAAAAACATTATTTCGGTCTCTCTCTCTCTCCCCCTCTCTGTGTGTGTATCTTGTATGTTCTTATATAAGTTATGTCTGATATATGTTGAAAAGGTTAACATTGCAAGTCATCTGCCTTTTTGATCAGGTCTTGGGTCCAAACGTGCTGAAATGGTTATGGCCCACAGCAGTAAGCCATCTAAAAGATGGACTTATCTTCCCTACTCCGCGCGATAATTCATGAGTCTTCTGCCTCTGCTCAAATTCAGATTTGGTGGCCTAAGTCCTTGTTTGTCAGCACACAAAGAATGTGAAGCATGTTCACTATAGTCATCTCCTAATCTGAAAAGAAGCTAGCAAAAAAGCAACAGAGGGGAAGAAGCTACATATCTTGTTGATAAACGCAGGGCAGGTTATCAGCTTCATTACGAGCCTAAGAAAGTGCCAAGACTTACACAATAGGATATGTTGAAAGCAGGTAGAACGAGCTTCCTTTTTCACATGCTGGAGATCAACAAGTCTTTTTTTGGCAACAGTAGTTTGGATATATGAAAGTGTACATCAGATGTTTTATACGATAAACGTTTGAGATATTTTATGCCGGAGGACAATGCAACCCACTTGATTAAACCCAGCCCCAAACTGAGGGATGTTGGAATAGAAACAGTGTGTGTAACTTCATGTAAGGTTAGCATTTTTGTTTACACTCTTGATAAAGAGCTTACATTGTGCCATTTTCGCTTAAATGACCAGTAAAATGTTTATTTATACTATTTGCCTCTCCACAAAAGAAAAAAACTATATTTGTGACGCCTGCTGGTTTCGTTTTAATTATATTATCAAGAAATAAGGATTGCTTAATGCTACGGTCGGTTGCACAGGTCATTCCTGGCCATTAATGTGTTGATGCGTGTAGCGGCCACAACGCATCAACGATCTGATTTCTTCCACACGTGCCTGCCTGCCTAGCTAATGCTAGCTAAATCCTTGATTTATAACTTCGACTCAACTCAATTGTAAATGATGATATTTAAAAAGTGATTAAGGCAAAGAATAGAACACGAAAATACAACCTAAAAGATTTGGTGTAACATTAACGATCATATGTGTAGGGAGAGAGAGACTATTGAGAAAATTGCAGGCACTAGGAATCATTGATGGGGATCGGGGTTCGGACATAGGTCACCAACCACATACACGAGCACTGAAATCTAGGGCTGGTGCAAACTCACATATATTGTAGCAAATCCATGCCACAAATAAAGTATTTCATTAATCATCAACATAAACTCCCCTACAACTATTACATTAGCCTTATTTATAGACTTTACAAGACTTGGGCACCAAGGCTACTTGGTCTAAAAGTAAACTAATTAATTATAAAATTAAACATAAATAATAAAAGATATCCTAAAATTAGCTAAATAAGAAAATAACAATATATCATGAAATAACTAATTAAATGGTAAATATCTATCTTGATCCACCCATATGCTCTCCTTGGTTGGAAAGAATTCTTCCTCGAATTCAAGCCTTTGATTGAGGAAAATCCGAGTAGAATCTTCAATTGCTTCATATTAATTCTGGATCTTTTAGCATCCAATTGAAACCTTCCTTTCCAAATAAAAAGATATTTGGAATATTTCGTTATTCTTGGCTTCTTCTTACTCCCTCTAACAATGCAAATGTTTCTTTCTAGAATCTTCAACTGATTGACAAAATCAACTAGAGTTTTGGCAACCTTCCAAGTGAAAACATTAATTCCCATAAAATCAATAATATCTTCAAAAGTTTTCTCAATTCTCATCTCTTCACTGTTTTGATCAATAAATTGCTTTGAAAACCTAAACAATTTTCATTGCAATTTTCACAGTTGCAAGGATCAAATATTGGAGGTAAATCCAAATTAAATAACTTTGATGAATAACAAGATGCACCAAATCCATTTATACCTTCAAAGACACAATAAGAATAATCGTGCCCCTCTGCACTTGACTCACGCAGCGGAGCGCAATAATGAAAAGGGTTATCTCCCTCCTACTTCCCATCGAGACTCCCACGGCTTAGAGTGTTGATGCGAGCTACTCGGTTTAGATAAGGGTTTACGCATCCTTCCTGGTCAAAACTCTTACCTATCTGGGTTTGAGCTTCAATGCGAGTGATGCGTTATGTAAGTTGTCGTAGCATCCTCTTAATTTCCTTCATGTCGTTGTAGTTGTCAACATGACCCTCCATCCAAAAACCCCCCCGAGAAAGCAGATCTTGAATCGTAGCTCTGCTACCAATTGATGGGGATTAGGGTCAAGACGCAGGTCAGCAACCACATACACGAGTATCGAAATCTAGGGCTAGTGCAAACTCACATATATCGTAGCAAATCCATGCCACAAATAAACTATTTCATTAATTATCGACATAAAACTCCCTTACAACTATTACATTAGCCTTATTTATAGGCTTTACAAGACTTGGGCACCAAGGCTACTTGATCCAAAAGTAAACTAATTAATTATAAAATTACACATAAATAATAAAAGATATCCTAAAATTAGGGCTGGGCATTTAGACCCGAAACCCAGCCAAACCGCCCAAACCAAACCGATGGGTTGGGTAGGTTTGGTTTTTTTTCATCTTTTTTTTGTCATCGGTTTGAGCCCAAACCAAACCAAATATATGGTTCGGTGTACGGTTTGCAATATTTAAAACCACGGTTTAACCAAACCAAACTGAAGTATTAAAAAATATTATATATAATATTATTATAAGAAATATATGTATATATATAGATATATAATGCTAAAATATGAAAACTATGAGAGAATATTTGTTTGTGGGAATTTTCTATTTATTCTTCTCCTTATAGGATGTCATATTTATAATACAACAAAACCTGAATGGGCAAGTAAATAATAAATTCCTAAATCTATTTACAGTAGGAAATCAGGAATTAAAGTAAATCAATTACAAATAATATAGGAATCCTTGGTGTGTAAGGAAAGTAAGTCAATATCCACAAGTCACGCCAACACTCCCCCTCACGTTGGTGCATCGATGTCGCCAATGCCCAACTGATCCAGTGAATTATGGAATGCTTTACTGAAAATCGCATTTGTCAAAATATCCGCCAATTGATCCTCGGATTTCACAAAAGGAAACTGAAACACTTTAGCCTCAAGCTTCTGTTTGATGAAGT